TCGATTAAAATTAAATAGCGAATATATCGATATATATATAATCGATAACTCTATTTATTATAAAGTAATAGGGGCTAATAAAAAAGATAAATATTATATAGAAATTCGTAAGACTATCATCGAAAATAAGAATAAGTTTTAAGAGATTACTCTTAGTAAATACTTTATATAAGATAAAGTACTTTACTATAAGAATCATTTATAAATATTCGATAATATATATATCGATATTATTCGAGAGATATATAATTAATTATTCTATAATTATTCCGAAGTAGTATGTATTTATAAACTACTTAAAAGAGAATATTACTAGCGAGATATAAGAGCTATTATAATTATCTATATTAAGAATTACTATATCTATTAAAGAGCTAAGACGCTTTATAATTAAGAGTATAGCTTACTATAATCTCTATTAATCTTATAAAAATAATAATAAAATATATTAATCGACTTCGTTATAGGCTTATCTATATTTAATAACTATAACGCTATTTAAATAGTAATTAATTAGCTTATTAAGAAATATTACTATATAGTCTATTCTAATATTAATAAAGATACTATTACTAAGAAGATAGTTAACTTACTACTTAAGAAAGTATTTTATCTATATAATCTATTAATTTTAATAATATTAAATTAAGGCCTTTAATTTATAGCTATTATATAAAAGTCTTTTTATAAGAGATTAAATATTATAGTTAAACTATTAATAATCTTTTACTCTAAAATTAATAAATAAATTAAATAAGCGAATTAGAATATAAAGCGTTATCTTTAAATATATTATAATTATATATAGAATAACTAGATAAGATAGCTATCTATTATCGAGTTCGCTAATAATAATACTATCTTATTAACTACTAATATCTTATCTTTTCTTATAAATAAAAGATTTTATTCTTAAATAACTTTTAGCTCGAATATTACTAATTATAAGATTATATATAAATATTTTAATACTACTTAGATAGAGAATATTACGAATTATATAAAATAAGTTTTTAAATATATTTAAAGTAATATAAATCGTATTTAGAAGGCTATAATTATATAAGTTAATAAGTATTAATAAAAGGTTACTTTTTAAATAAGCGATAAGATCTTTCTAAATAGCAAGAATATTATCTTTAATCGCTCTTCCCGCAAACTAAATTATAAGAGACTTAATCTATTCGAGATTATAGACTTTATAAAAATCTTATATTATCTAAAACTTCCGCTAATTATAAGAATCTACGATATCTTTCATCTTAATCTCTTAAATTTTATAATAAATAATCTTTTATTAGAGTAGATAAATTCTTCGTTAGAATATATTACTATTAATAATCGAATTAAATAAATTATTAAAGAAATACTTAACTTTAAATTAATTTATAGTCATTTTAAGTATAAAGTTAAGTAAAAAGATCTTAATAATAATCTTAACTAATATAATGCGAACGGCGGTAAATTCGAAAATTATTAGAATTTAATAAACGACTTTTATAAGCGATATCCCGAAGAGCCTTATCTATAAAGAAATTAAGGCGAGAAGTCTTTAATAGCGATAGCGTTTCCGGGCCGGAACTATCTTGAATATCCCATTTTTAGTCGAATTAAAATCGTCCGATATCTTTATAATAGCCTTTATTTTTTTTTTTTTTTAAAATCGAGAATTAATTTCTTAGACTTATATTAATTAGAAATTATCTTATATATAGTCTTCCGCGTAGGCCCCCGTTACTAATATAACTTTAAAGATCTTTCGAAGTTATATTAGTATATATATAAATTATATTATCGCTATTACGAAATATAATCGATATTAGCTAAATAATATATTATAGAGAAGACTATATTAAAGTTACTTAATATTAAATTAAAGTTTTTAGCGTCTATAACTTAGTTCGATTCGAGAGTTCTTAATTAATTACGTCGTATTATTTTATAGACATCTCATCCGCTTAAATACGAATTCGAAAATTATTATTATTTACCCCTACGTCTATAAATATGATTTTCGCTATACTATATCAATTTCCTTCTAGCTAAGCCTTCTATATACGTATATACCTTAATTAGCGATATCGCTATAGCGTAAATAGAAAAAACTATTATTATTCTTAATACCTCTAACGAAGAAAGATACGATACTAAAGTTCTCGAATATAGTTATTTCTTTACTACTTTTTTTATTTTTCAGATATTAAGCGTATATATATATCTATTTTTCTATCTTTCTACTTAATAATTATTAGATATAATTTAATAAAGAAAAGAAGTAATATTATAAGCGTACTCTTAATATATCTCTTAGCTCTATGGCTAGCGAGCCTTAGCGAAAACATCTTCTATTATATTATATCTCCTTTTCATCTATATAATTCGATATCTTAGTTATCTTATTTAATATATCTATATTAATATTATATCTATACCGATTCTAATATATTAGATTAAAAGTATTATTAATTAATTATAATTAAATATTTCTACTTTATAAATTAATAGACTTAATTTATAAATTACTTACTATAATTAAATTAAATAACTTTATATAAATAAAATTATTAGAATTATAAAATAATAAGATCTCTTTTAATAAAACTATATAATAGCTATATAATTATAAGGTCTAGATATATAGTTAATAGAATAAATAAATTAATTATTAGATAAATTAATAATAAAAATAAAAAAAGAGAAAAGAGAATTTATAAGTATTTAAGACTTCGTTAAATATATTAAATACTCGCTTTAATTATATAGCTTATAATTTAATAAATAACGTAAGCGAGTTTATTAGTTCGCTTCGAGTACTTATATACTTATAAAAGATCTTTTAATCTCTCTCTTAATAGAAAATTTTAAGAAATTTTAATCTTTTTATATTTATCTTTAGTTATAACGTCTTATCTATTATAATATTAAATCTTTATATTAATTAATTTAATTAATTAACGTTCTTTATTTTTTTTTAAATATTATTAATATAAATATTATTTTAATCTTAATAGAATTTATTAGCGATATTCTTAAGTATTTATAAAGTAAAGTTTTTTTAATTATCTATTATATAATTTTTTATTTCTCTCTAATTTTTAATAGATAACTCTTATTTAAGGCTATATATTCTTTTTCTTTATATAATATATATATCTTTAAAGCTATAGATATTAGCTTTTTATAAATTTAAATATTATATATTTAATTTTATCTTATATATTAAATCTCGTTATTATAGAATATAAATATATATTTATACTTTTAATATTTAAAGTATTATATTAATAAAATCATCTAATTAGATCTCTTAACTCTTTTTATTTTTTACTTTTTATTTTATTATTAATAACGAGTAAAGATTTATAGATTAAATTTTTTTTTTTTAAATTAGAGCTATCGAGTAAGTAGATAAGCGATCTTTAGTAAGCGAACTTTAATAAGCGATATTTGAATTTCTTACGCTTTAATAATTATAAGACTTAATTTAGAAATTCTTTTATTATCTAAAAGCTTATATTTTATTTTATAATTTAAAAGAAAATCTTAAAGTTTTAATAGAAAACGAAAAAGTTATTTTAAAATTAAATAATATATATTAATTTTTTAATTAAAGCTATCGACTATCGAGCGAACTTTAATAAGCGATATTTAAATTTCATATCTTTAAAAATTTATAAGATTAAATTTTAAATTTGTTTTTTAAGAAAAAGCGTAACTTACGAATTATATTTTAGAAAAATCTTAAATTTTTAATAAAAAATAGTAAAGTTATTAAAGAATTAAAAGTAGAGAGAGAGATTTTAATAGTTATAAACGCTAATTTATTTATCTATAATAACTTAGTTAATCTAATTAAAAAGCGTAGTAAACTTAAATTTATAATTAATTATATATATAAATTTAAGCTTTTATAGCTTAGCTCTATCTTATTCTATTATATATATTAATTATATTTTATTATTAGATTTTAAATTAAGTAAATATAAGAAAGAAAGTAAATAGAATAATTAAAAATTAAAAGAATTATTAGATTTAATATATTTATATCTATAATTTTAAATCTTAATTTTTTATAAAAAGACGTAGAATAAAAGAATAGAACTTACTAAGATTTCTTTTACTCTTTTCTCTAGAAGTCTTATATATTTTTTACGTTAACTTTAATCTCTTCGTTTATTTAATTAAATATAAGTTTAACGTTAATTTAAAATAAATTACTATTTATAGAAAAGTTAAAAAGAGTAAAGATATTCGATAACCGTCTAGATCGAGGTAATAAATTAGCGTAATTTTTCTCCGCGTCTTAATTACGCGACTTTTTTTTATTCTTTATAATAACTTTATTATATTAAGTTTAATATAGCTAAAATTATTACTCTATCTACTTTTAATAAGAAAGAATTAAATTAAATTATAAAATATTAGAAAAGAGATATTTAGATTAATATAAGAAAGAAGAAATTTAAATAGCGTAATATTCTTCTTTAGAGTATATCTTTACTATTAGAGTATTAATTAATAAAAATTAAGTATTATATAATTATTAATTATCTTCTAAGCGATATAAGAATTACTTTATATATAATATTTAGTCTTATATAGATTATTACTATCTAGAATATACTTTATAGAAATATTAATTTATATATCTCTCTATAGAGTACTTTAGATTTTATTTAAAAGTCTATTAATATTTCGAAGCTAAAAATCTTCGTCGCTATTATAATCTATATGGGAATCTTTTATTTTTCTACTATTTATAATTATTTCAAGAAAATAAATAACTAAGTTATGAATTCATATGTGATGTAAAAGATCTTAATTATTCTATGTGCCTGCAGGGCAGATATGTGCGGTGCCAAGCCACGCTAGTGTTATCTTATTAGATGGCCTTGGCGTACCGTGACAACATGCCCGCAAAGAAAGAAAAAAAGACACGTTCTCGTGGCTGCATCCCTGGATAGCTACATTGAGCATACGCCGTCCATATATCCATACATCTATCCTTGGCCTATAGCCTTTATATCCTTCGCGAATCGAGTGTAACCGAGCGGAGAGGCGAGTTGAGAGGCGAGTTGAGAGATGAGAAGAGAGGCGAGAAGAGAGGCGAGAGGTAAGGTAGAAAGTGGAGCACTGTTGAGGCGAGGGGAAGGATCTCCGCAATTCTGTATAGTGGCCTGGTGTGGAATTGTAGAGAGTGTGCCCGCTTGAATAGGACTGCTGCTGTCCGTGCTCTTGTTCTTCTCCGTAGTCTTCTCCGTAAACTTCTCCGTAGATTTCTCCGCAATTTTCTCCATATTTGCCTGTTGCAATGGCCTATGCTCTTGCTTAACTGAGTGCTCTGGCTGAGTGGCTGACTGAGTGACTGGCTGAGTAGCTGACTGAATGGATTGTTGTAAGACCGTGGAGAGCAGGCCTGTTGTGTCACTGCTGCTGCTATCCGTGCTCTTATTCTCCTTTATAGTCTTCTCCGTAGATTTCTCCGTAGTTTTCTCCACATTTGCTTGTTTCTGGTTTAAGAGAGTTTGGAGATGATTGAAGTCATAGTAGTGGATTTGGTGTGTTGACGGCTTGGTGGGGGGGTGCTTGGCACGAGTTCTCCGCTTGTTTCTCCGCTTGTTCCTTTTGTTCCTTAACTTCGTGGCTGTGGGCGATACGATTGAGTGCGTAGGTCATGAGGTTAAATGGCGTAGGGACGATAGGGCTGTAGTAGGCCATAGTGATATGTCAAATGGCCTAATGAAAGGATTGATTATGTGGTCTGGTAGGCTGGTGAATAGCCTAATTGTCTGATTGCGTAGACTGAATCTAGCTGCGTAGCGGAGCGCGGGGGCTGACTGTCGGTATATCGTGACTGCGGGTTGAGTGACGGTATAGATGACTTGGAAGAGGACCTGGGTTAGGTGTTGCTACCAATTGTCAAGGAAATGGATGACTGGGTCATGAATTCATGTGTGGTGTAAAGATGTTGATTATTCTATGTGCCTGCAGGGCAGATATGTGCGGTGCCAAGCCACGCTAGTGTTATCTTATCAGATGGCCTTGGCATACCGTGACAAATTATTAGAGAATTAATAAAATTGCTTCGATAACTTTATTAATTATTAAGAATATAACTTAAAATCGCTATATTCTTCTTTAAAAATTTATTTATTACTTAGATTCTATCGAAAAGAATTTTAGAATTATTAAAATAGATAGATATAAATAATCTATATAATATAAAAAGCTTTAATTATTTATAAATAAGATACGAAGTAATTAAAAAAAGCTTTATATTTTAAATTTTTATATTATAATTAATAAATATATAGTTAAAAAAATAGAATATATATACTATTTTATAATAGCTTTAGATAAATTAATTAAGAAGAGATATAAATTATTCGTAATTAGCGATAAGAGTTATCTCTATAATTATATCTAATATTTTTCTATATAAAGTCTTAAGAATAAATTAAAAGTTAAAGATCTTAGAGATATATTAGTTATAATATTTAAATTAATTATTAATATATTATCTTATAACTCTATTCTCTTTATAAATAACTATTTTATCGAATTTAAGCTAACTATAATTCTAAAAGATAAAGAAATTATAATATATAAAATTAGAAAGCTAAATTAATTAGATCTTTTAAAATTACTTATAAAGATAAAATAAGTTTTTATAAGAGATATTTTATATAAAGTTCTCGCTATAGTAGTTTAGAATAATATATTAATAGTAATTTAATAAGATAATAATCTTATTCTAGTCTTAACTATTATATATAATATAAGAGAGATTAATAACTTTATTTTTAAAAAGAGAAAATATTTTAATAAGACTAGTATAAATAATTATATAATTCTATCTACTTTTAAAGAGAATAATTAGAATATATAAAAGAAGAAGTTTTAAATTTTTAAGCTTTTTTATTACTATAATAAGTATATAAAGAAAATTAATTAATTTAATACTCTAATAATTATATATTCTTCTTAGCGAGCTTATAATTAAAATTAAATATCTCTATTTTATTAATATTTAGATAAAAGTCTTTCGAATATCTTTAAGCTTTATAAATTAATAAAAATATTTTATTAGAAGTATTAGAAGTTTCTCGAGCTAATAATAATAAGATTAGTTAAAAAAGATAGAGAAGATATTTAATCTCAGCTACCTTTTATCTTAATTATTACTTTCTTAAAACTATTATAAGATAATTATAACTAATAAGATTTAAATACTATTCGATAGTGTCTTATATATCGTTTCGATATTTAGAAGAGGCGTTTTAATAGAGAAATTAGTAGTAATAATGGGGGAGTATTAAAGACTAGAGGGGGATACGCTATATATAAAGTCTCTTTATATCGTAAAGGGAATTATATAGAATAATTTTATAATAGAAAGAATTAAATAGAGTTTATAGAATGAATCTAGATTATTAAATATAGATTATATAGTAGTTATAAAGTAATAGTATTAATAATAATAATAGAAATCGCATTTATTATCTTCGAGCGGTTATCGAATAAATATTACGTTTTTATTAATAATAATAGAAAAGTTAATATATAATTTTCTTTTATTATTATATATAATACTTATAAAATAATCTAATAAAGTTAAGAAAAACTAGAGCTTAAGATAAGAAATACTAGAGACTTACTTATTTAATTTAGATATTAAAAAGCGATAGTTAAGAAATTAACTCTCTTTAAGAAAGTTAATAATAATAGAAAGATGTTAAACGACTTTATAATATTAAATAAGTCTTATAAATCTTTCTCTTATACTACTATTAACGTAAATCTACTAGTTAAAAAAATATAAATTTTTTTAAACTTAGAATTTTTTAACTTTAACTTCTTTTTTTTTAAATTTTTTAACTTTAACTTCTTTTCTTTTAAAATTTATATCTTTATAATCTATTTATAAAATCTTATAATTCTAAAAGCTCTATAACGTAACTAGTCTATTTTATATAAGACGATTTTAGAATACGATAGTTTATATATAAAATATCGAGTAAGATTAGAAATATTCTATATCTTTTAATATAATATTTTAAAAATTACTTAAATCTTATACTATATATTATATCTTTTCGACCTCTACGTAAATCGAATATATTATTACTAAAATAGAAATCGAATTTTAATATAGAAATAAATAAATAAGAAGTAGTTAAGTAGATAATATTATAGAAGAAAAATACGTAGTAAAAAGATTTAAAGAAAATATAAATATTTTATATATAATTATAGAGAGATAAGTTTAAATCTATAAATTAAGTTTATAAAAAGTTTTATTTTTTTAATATCGAGAATAAATTTAACTCTCGAAGAGTAAATTTACTTTAATATAAGATTTACTTAGAATTACTAGTCGAAAAGATATAGTATATTTTATAGAATATTTTATATTAAGTAATATTATATTATACTCGAGTATAGTATAGATAAAATCGAATATTATTTTATTTTTCTAATATAGATTCGAGATCTTAACGAGATATATTACGATATAATATATCTATAATATTATACTATAAAATAATATATATATAAGATATTTTATTAAGATTTCTATATTTAAAAGTATAAGTAGTTATTTTAATTATTATTCTAATTTATTATAGCTAATACTATTATAACTAATATTATTATAATTAATATTATTATAATTAATACTATTATAGCTATTACTATTATATCTATTATTATTATATTTATTATTATTATAGCTATTATTATTATAACTAGTACTATTATAGCTATTACTATTATAGCTATTACTATTATAGCTATTATATAATAATAAACTATTTAAATAATAAATAGTAATAGCTATAATAATAATAGCTATTAAAATATTAAATATATAATATATAGAACGAACGAATTAATTCTTTAAAATCTCTTCGAGACTAGATTCTAAATATAGTATAAAATTAGATAACTAAAATATACGAGAGCTATATTTTAATAGTAGCTATAATAGTAATAGTTATAATAGTAAGTAATAGTTATAATAATAGTAGTTATAATAGTAGTAGTTATAGTAGTAATAGTTATAATAATAATAGTTATAATAGTAATAGATATAATAATATTAGTTATAATAATATTAGTTATAATAATATTAGTTATAATAGTATATCGAATAAGAATAGATACGATTAGTCGTTAACTAGAATAATAATTAGAATAGCTACTTTATACTTCTAAATATAGAAATCTTAACGAGATATTTCATATATATATTATTTCATAATATAATATTATAGATATATTATATCGTAATATATATCGCTAAGATTTTATATTATATTAGATATAAAATTATATAAATCTTAATAACTTATATTATATTAAAGTATAATATAATAGATTAATATCTTATATTATATTATATCTTTTCGACTAGTACTTAGAATTATAAAATCGAATTTTATAAGTTTTAAATTATTAGAAAGCGTAGAATAAGTTCTATAATTGAAAAAGAAATAGAAAGATTTAAAAAAAAGAGAAGTTATATTAATAATAGATCTTTAAAGAAATAATTAATTTTAAATTAATTTAAGTTTAATTAATAGAAAGTTATAGTCGTTAACTAGAATAATAATTAAAATAACTACTTTATACTTCTAAATATAGAAATTCTAATCGAATTATTCTATATATTTATTATTCTATAATATAATATTATATATATAATATCTTATAATATATATTATTAAGATTCTATATTATATTAGATATAAAATTATATAAATATTAATATCTTATATCTTATTAATATATATAAAAGAATAAGATAGAGTTAAGCTTAAAAATCTTAAATTTATATATATAATTAATTATTAATTCGAGTTCGCTACGCTCTTTAATTAGATCGATTAAATTATTATAAGTAAATAAATTAACGTTCGTAATTATTAAAATCTCGCTCTTCGCGTCTCGCTTATTAAAAAAATAGATATACGAAGATCGATATTAAAAGTTCTAGATATATTAAGATAAGAATTTAGATAGAGCTAAGTACTTAGTATACTTTCAAATTTCATAAATAATATTATTATTCTTTATTTTAATAAGTATTAGTACTCTATATAATAGCGACGTAGTATATATATATAAAGTATAAATATATAAAGTATATATATAATAGCGATATTAATAGAATATATAATAGCGATAATATTAAAGTATTAATTATAGTATAAAGAAATAAAGAAAGAGTATAAAGACTTTTAATATATAAGTCTTATTTATATAATATAATAAATAGAAATCTTCTTACTATTCTCTATCTTAATTATCTTTTATTAATATATTTAATATTTAAAGTATTAATTATAATAATAAGACTCGAATTTAAATACTTATTAAGTTTTATTAATTATAAATAAAATATTATATTATTTAAAAAGATATATTAAGAATTTATAAGAAAGTCGAAAGATAATAGCTATATTATTAAAATTACGAGTTTACTTAAAAGAGAATTTAAAAGTAAATAGAGCGAATAGTAAGATATATTAATATATTACGAAGATAATATATTTTAAAAATAATAATAAGTATAGAAAAGATTATAAGAAAGATAATATATAATTATACGACTTCGTTAAGTAAGTTAATAAGTATATATATAATTATATAAAGTATTATCGTTAAATAAATGTAATTATATAGAAAGTATTAAGGATATCAAGAGTATCAAGTATTTTAGCGCTATCTAGAGCTTTTAATATCGACTTTTATACGTTATTTATAATAGTAATAACTTTTTTATTTTCTATTAAAAATTTTAATTTTTTTTTAATTTTAAATCGCTATTTATACTTTTCGAATTTTTAAGAATTTTAAAAATTTATCTTATAATTATTAAAGCGTAAGAAATTTAAATATCGCTTATTAAAGTTCGCTTATTAAAGATCGCTTATTAAATTTACTCGATAGCTTTAATTTAAAAAAAAATTATAAATTTAATTTATAAATCTTTACTCGTTAGAGTATAATATAGTAGATTAATATTCTATATTATATTATATCTTTTCGACTAGTAATTAAACTATTTTAAATTATTTTAGATTATATTATAAAGAGACTATTTAATAAGAAAATATCAATATTTTAGAGACTTATAAAAAGCGAAAATAAGATAAAGATAAATTATAATTATTAATTTCTTAATTACTTCTTTTATAAGTAACTCTTAAATATAAATATTAGAAAAATAATAATTATATTATAAAAAAAATTAAGCGAAAAACTAAGTTAGAAAAGTCGTATTTTAATTATTTCGAAGAATATTAACGAGATAATCTCTATATTTAGATTCTTAAAGAATTAAATAAAAAATCTATCTTTATTACTAATAATAAATATTATTATAAGATTTAGAATAATAATTATAAACGACGATATATTTTAGTAGAGAAGGGAAAATTATTCGAGACTATAGTAGTAGTTAATGCTTTAATATAATTTATATAAATATATTAGATCTTATACTTTATTAAATCTAATATTAATTTATAATATTATTAATTAATATAATTAACTATTAAAAGATATAATTAGAGATTAAAACTATATTAAAGAATTATAAATAAAAGAAAGTAATAAAGAAAAAAAGATATCTTATAGAAATTCTTAGAATTTTAAAATATACTCTTATAGAGATAAGTTTTAACGCTATCTTTTATTAAGAAATTATTAATAAATATTAAAATAAGAATTAATAGATTACTCTTTATAATCGTTTTTTTAAAAAGAATAATAAAGAAAAAATAATAAGAGTATAAAAAAATCACATATTATAAAATAGATCTTTAAGTATATATCTTCTTTAATATTTAAGAATTATAGAATTAACGATAAGTAATATAGAGATTATATTTTATTAATCTATCTATATAAATATATTAAGAAAATTATAATTAGAAACTTTAATAAGAATATATAAATAATTAAGAATAATACTCTCGTCTATATTAAAGTAATTAAACTCTATTTAAAAAAATAGAAAAGATATAATATTAAGAAGATTAATTAGATCTCTAATTTATTAAATCTATATTAAATTAAGTCGTTATAAAACTCGTTAAAGAATAATTTATAATTATATTAATATTTAATTAAGAGAATAAATAAGATAATTAAAAATAGAGCTAGAGAAGAGCTAGAAGCTAAATAAAATTCTATTATAAATTATAATTCGCTAGTAAGATAAATTAGACTTTATTATAAGCTAAAAAATAGTAATAAGTTTAAAGAATATATATATTTTCTTTAAAGTATCTCTTATTAATATACTTCTATTTAAAACTCTTTATCTTTAAAATATATTCTATTAAAATCTTATTATACTTTAAATAATATTTTAATATATTCTTCTTTTAGCTACAATTTATCTAATTTAAAAAGATTATTTTATTATTATTAAGTATAATAACTTCGATAAAGAGTATCTAAGAGATATCGATTTATTAAAGAGCGAATATAATATTATTATCTAATTTAAGACGATAATAATTAGTTAGAAAGTTATTTAGATTCTTAATTAATTAATTAAGTAATCTAAATACTTATAAGATTACTTATATATAAATATAGCTATTATTATTATTATATTCTCGATATCTTAATATTTAATAAGAGAGTATATCTTAGTAATAGCCCCTCTCTCTATGAAATAAGATATATTTTAGTGCGATTTTGCGGAGAACTAAGTAACTTAATTGGTTGATTCCCGGCGTTATTTTAGCGTGGGAACTTATTCCTGGATTGTACGAGTATGAAAAAGGGGAGGATAAAGAGGGAGGGGAGGATAAGAAGGCTAAAGGCTTGCGGGGTTGCGATTGCGGGACCCATGGAGCGAAACATGATACCAGAATTGGAACCGCAGTGATATAAGAGGCGACAGGATCAGCGACCAGCGATCAGGCGGCAGTACTCGCTTATCGAAGACCGCAAGCAATCTTCGGAAGTTATTTTCATTGTCAAGCTAAACAGGCTATGCCACCCACAAGAGACGGGAATACCCGCGACATCCTGTCGCCAGAAACCTCAAAGTCCTACGTGCCACTCGTTAGTATCGAAATTCTCTCCCGTGTAACCGTCATCTCCCAGCACTAGCTGGAGATGCTTGAACCCTTGACCCCGAAGACGCGGCCGTACCATCGCCCTTCTTGCGTTTCTTGTTGCCAGGGTCCTGCTTTCTAGCCTTCTCTTCTTGCAATTGCTTTTGCGTCTCCTGCTGCGAGTATGCATATAACCTCTCGTGAAGCTTCAGTAGCTCCGCTTTTCGGGTATTGCAGCCCCAATTCAGAATATTGTGCAGCATGCTGCGAGACTGAGGGAGTTGGTCTGGATCACTCAGGGCTCTCGCGACAAGTCTGTTCGAGTGGTAGTTGACGATGGTCTTCATGGTCTTCCCATCAGTAATGACATCTGCCCAATGTAGCCAGATTTCTAGGATAGTTGAGTTCATCGCGACGGAGAAGACCACGGTCCTTTCGTCGACCCCAGTAACGTCGGGATAACCAAGTTTCTCGAGCAGGCTTCTAGACGCTTTCACCAGAGTAGCACCACCTCGGGCGGCCTGATTATAAGCATGTGCCAGCTCGCCGCGATCTGCTTTGCCCTCGATCAGTAGAAAGGCGTGATAGACGCCGTTGGCGATTCGGAGGAGCTCGCGAAGTTCCTGAGATAGCATCACCCCTCGCGGAATAGGAAACGTGTCGGGTGTGAGGCCGTAGCAGTAATCAGGCCGTGGATTCTTCATGCCGTTCTGTTTTGCCAATACGGTTGCCAGCGCCGCCTCGAAGCCGAGTTCTTCAAATTGGTTTGGTAGAAAGGTGCGCAGGAACTCGGAATTCATGGTGACCAGAAGGCCATCGTCACTCCAAAGGGCATTGCTTAAGAGGAAGGCCTTCCGTAGGGTCATTCGTTCAGCATCTGTTGCGGCGTTGGCGATTTTCGCGTTGTAGCTCGCCAATTCTTCACCCTCGAGGTCCTTCTCGGCCAAGTATGTCCGTCTAACGATGAGAGGTACCAGAGTTTGCAAAATTGTATCTTCGTTGAGTCTCTCGACCTGTGCTAGGGTGTTCTCGAACTCGCGAACCTCTTTCTTCTTCATAGCCGACAGGCGATCTTGGAACAATATAGCTTTCATTTTCTCTCTAAATTCGGTGTAACTCTCCAAGGCAGCTTTGTTCTGTAGTATTCCGTGATCTTCCATGGCTAGCTTGACCGCGTTGGCGTCTTTTGGTATCTTGAACGGGGTAGGCTTGGTGGAATCGGTGTCATCGGTAGGGAGGTTGTTGCTTCCATCTAAACTGACGTGGCCCTAGCTTGAGGTCAGTAGGGTCTGGAGTCGGCAACTCAGGACGTACCGGGCCTCTAACATTGCCGTGACCACCCATGCTCTCGGTCCACTTCTCGAGATTGATATGGGTGAGAGGGGTCGGAGGCAAGGGAGAAATCGAGGTGTCGCGAGGGGAGGGACCGCTTCCGCTTAAGGTTGTAGGAGGGTATGATATCTGAATACTCGAGCCAAGCGTAAACGGTGTCGAATGCTGTAGATAAGGAGGAGTTGGTCTCGCTGGCTTCGGGGTGCTTAGATCCACGCTGAAAGGTCATATTTGTCTTTGGTCAGATTGATGAGGGAGCGACGGTGGTATAGATATCGGGTGAGGTGAAGGATTGGCATTTTGTAGGGATAAAGAGAAAGATGGGCGGACGTAATTGCAAAAGCAGTTGTAGATGGTGAAGGTAAAAGGTGAAGGAAGACAAAAACTCAAATTTTGAAAGAGAAAGATGAAGATCTACGCAGTCTCGGCGGAAGTTCGGGGATCGCGCTGTCACGGGACGAGCGGGGTCTGATTACGATTCTCGCATATCTCTACTTCTCTAGTAATAGAGTTAACTCTAACCCTTTATATTTAATAAGTAAAGATTTATAAATTAAATTCATAATCTATTTTTTTAATTAGAGCTATCGAGTAAATTTAATAAGCGATCTTTAATAAGCGATATTTAAATTTCTTATTCTTAAAGAATTATAAAATTAAATTTCATAATTTTCTTATTTTCAGAAAGCGTAAATTACGATCTATAATTTAAAAAAGAAATTTTAAAATTTTAATAGAAAATAGTAAAGTTATTAAATAATTAAAAGTAGAGAAAAAGATTTTAATAATTATAAACGCTAATTTATTTACTCGCGATAATTTAATTAATCTAATTAAAGAGCGTAATAACTTTAAACTTATAATTAATTATATATATAAATTTAAAAATTTTAAGCTTAGCTTTATATTATTCTTCTATATATATTAATAAAAATTTTATCTTTTATAACTTTTAATTTATAATAAATTAAATTAAATTTATTTTTATTTACGCTATATTCGATAATCGCCTAAATCGAGATAATAAATTAGCGTGATTTTTCTCCGCGTCTTAACTACGCGACTTTTTTTATTCTTTATAATAACTTTATTATATTAAATTTAATATAATTAAAATTATTACTTTATTTACTTCTAATAAGAAAGAATTAGATTAAGCTATAAAATATTAGAAAAGAGATATCTAAATTAATATAAAAAAGAAGAAACTTAAATAGCGTAATATTCTTTTTTAAAGTATATCTTTACTATTAGAGTATTAGTTAATAAAAATTAAAAATTATATAATTATTAATTATCTTTTAAGCGATATAGAAATTACTTTATATATAATATTTAATCTTATATAAATTATTACTATCTAAAATATATTTTATAAAAATATTAATTTATATATCTCTCTATAAAGTACTTTAGATTCTATCTAAAAAGTCTATTAATATTTTAAAATTAAAAATCTTTATCGCTATTATTAGTATATATAATAGAATAAGATAGAGCTAAGCTTAAAAATCTTAAATTTATATATATAATTAATTATTAATTTAGAGTTACTACGCTCTTTAATTAAATCGACTAAGTTATCGCGAGTAAATAAATTAGCGTTCGTAATTATTAAAAAAATAGATATACGTTATTAATATATAGAATAATCTTTTTATTTTCTATTAAAATTTTAAGAATTTTTTTTTAAATTATAAAATAAATTGTAGGCTTTTAGAAAAAAAAAGAATTTTTAAATTTAGTCTTATAATTATTAAAGCGTAAGAAATTCAA